GGAACTACAAGACTGCTCCCAACTAACAATCTCAGCTTCCGTGGAAAGGCTATCATAAATGCCCTTCCCGGAGAGTGAGATCAACAACTAACTTCTCCATGGAGTCCTCAACTAATGCCTGTTGAAAACAGGAGCAAACACCCATACATAAACACTGAGTCAAACTAGAACCCAGAAGCAGATGGAGAGGACAAGACCATGCGGTAGAAGTACATAGAGACAGCTTACATGAACAAGGAGGAGCTAAGGGCCACTAGACTGATAGCTGGGAAGCCAACAGGGGTCTGACTCGGACTCCCCTGAATATGGGTCTCAGCCAGAAGGTCTGAGCAGTCTAAGAGACCTCAGACAGTGGAGCCAGGATGTATCCCTGGTGCACAAAAGGACTTTGCAAACATATCCCCCATGGAGGGATAACTGCCTTATTCTAGAGATAGGAGAGAAGCCCTAGTCCCTACTTCACAGGACCTGTCAGATCTACATGACCCCAACTGGATGGCATTCCCCTACATATTGTATTGTGGTGGGGGGTTGGGAGGGGAGGGTGTTTAGAGTGCATGGGAGAGGGTAGAGAGGGTAAAAGGGAGGGAAGGAGGGAGGGAGGGCTTGGGGGGAGGGATGGAGGGAGGGAGAGGGAACTGGGATCGACATGTAAAATAATAATAAAAAAAAAAAAAAAAAAACGCTTTGACTCCAAAATTTAAGTTGAAGAACAAGTTACTGGGGAAAAGTATTTCTATTTTTGTTTCCACAGAAAATGAAAAGATGTGGATTCCTTCCAGACTAATGTGGTTTGATCACACCAGACCGCCTGAAACAGAGTACAAGCTGATCCTACATTCCAAACAGCTGGACAAAACAGCCCTACAGACTACAGCTAGGATATCTGAATCTTCTTCGAATCCCCCAAGACAGCGCCCCTTACCAGCAGGAAGTAGTTTGGAAAGAACGACGCCCAAATTCCCAAATATTGTGTATAAATGTTTGTTTTCATTTAATTGGACTTTGTTATATAAAATTAAATAAAAAATACTCTATATGCAAAAAAAAAAAAAATATTAACCCCAAAAAAAAAAAAAAAAAAAAAGAGTCTAGATAAGAATGCAAGTTGGTGGTGCACAGCTTTAATCTCAGCACTTGGGAGGCAGAGGCAGATGGGTCTCTGAACTCGAGGCCAGTGAGGTCTACAGAGGGAGTTCCAGGACAGCCAGGGCCACACAAAGAAACCTCGTCTCAGAAAATAGACAGAGAAACAAACAAAAAAGATTCTAGGAGAGGAGCAAAGAAAACCAGGAAGCTGAACAGACAGAGTAAAAGAGACTCAGAGAAATGCAAAGAAGGAGCAAGTCAGAGAAGAGGAAGGCAGCTGAGGAGAGGGGAACGCGGTGGCAGAGGGACCAGCAGGTATTAGAAAGGAAGAACTACAACCAATGAGACACGCCAGAGACTCGGAGGTAAGCTAGGAGAGAAACGCGAGGGGAGAGATGGATTGAGAGATGTGCATGGATCTGAGAAGACAGGAGAGAAAGGAAGCAGCAACCGGAGGGCAACCTCTGATGGCCCGGCTTCGAGTCCCAGGGCCCTATGGTAGAAGGAAAGATTGACTCTTACAAGTTGTCCTCTGGCCCCCTCCCCCCTCAACAGTAAACAAAGAAACAGATAATGTGAGAGGAAGCAAAAGAGCGATTCCATCGTCTTCTCTCGGGGCGGCTTCCATTCTCACGTCTGTAGGGGCCCACGGGAATCTGGTGCCAAGATCAACCCACCGGAGCCTCATTACAGATGGCCAATAATGGGTCCTTGTGGGAGCCAAGTGTGGCCCCGATGTCCTGACCCAGGGAGAGATCAAAGTGGGGAGTCCTATAATTGCTCCCCTGCTTTCTCTGTGTCAGAGTCCTCTCTCTACAGATCTGGGTAGAGGGTTTAAACTCATCCTACACTGAACACAGTCTGGATGATTTGCTATCCCCCCCATGCCCCTGCTGCTGAGCCCAGGAGCCTCTGGTGGTGGGAAGAGTATCTATCTGCTCCATAATGGGGATGTATGGCCATGGATCGGCTTTGCGGTAAAGGAGGAGGTGAGGGGTTTCTGAGAGGTGAGTCTGTTGAAGTTTCAGATTCTTGAGGGAGACCCAACAGGAGTCAGTGAGATGCTCTGTGGCCCAGAGAACATGCTATACAAAGTGATTTGTGTGTATGTAAGGCAGAAAGGGGGAATCCCATCTCTTTCCATCGCTCTTCCATCACAGTCTTCACCCAATATCACAGGATAGGACTGTAGGTATCTCTCTTGATTGACTTTCTCCCATGTACCTGTGGCTTTGGTGGGTTTATAACTACTGGAAGACTCTGATATTTGTGAATCTCACATCCAGCCATGGTCTATCTAAATTCCGGGCTCATCTATTCAGGTATTTGATAGATATTAGACTAGGGATGCCACAACAGCCTAAGAAATGTAATACACAAGATGAATATGGCATTGCATACCTGTATTCCTTGCACTTGGCAGGCCTATGCAATAGGGAAACAAGTTTGGGTCTATCCTGAGATACATAGCAAGTTCCAGGCTAGCCTCAGATATATAGCAAGATTGTTGAAAATATGGGAAAATAGTTCTCTACAAGATTCAAAGAGGAAAAGAAGGAGTAAGTTCCCACTTCTTTAATGTGAGTATGAAGTTTCAGCCGAAGGCAAGGGAAATTTCAAGAGTTGGTTATACAACTGTACCTACGGTACTTCCCTAGAACCAAGGTCCACATTCCCACTGAGAGAAGAACTCAGAAGTCTTGTCAGATGTCCCAGTCAATCAGAATGTGTCACCCTGTAATTGACACTGTAATAGCCTTCCAGTTCTGCTTGGCAGGGCCTTGGCTAGACCACATGCTCATCCTTTCTTTCAGTCACATTCTAGCCATTGGCCACCTTGGCCCAGCTGTGCTCACTTCTGTCATGTGGCCTGGACTCACTTCTGGGTGTCAATGGACTCCTGCCTCTAACACCATCTCCGTAGCCTTGATAGACACCTTTCTAATGTCTCTATGTGTGTTAGCACACTCTTCAAACAAGCTTGTAAATGTTGTGCAGAAACCGCCTGCATCTTACAAATGAGGAAATAGAATTTCTCTTCCTCTTTTTCTCCTCCTCCTCCTTCTCCTCCTTCTTTAGGACATGGGCAGAATCAGAACAGAGCAAACCAATCGTAGAGATTGCCCATTTCAGCCACCCCTTTCTCATCCTTTCAACAAATGGTCTTCATCACAAGACTTTGAGGTCAGCCTGGAATGTATCTATGAAGGAGTCCGGAGGGTGGGAGACTGTTGCGGTCTCCCTAAAGGGGGCCTCCCTGGGGAGGAACAGGCCAGACTTTGCCACGAGCATTTTGCTTTACTAATGTCTGTGTAAGCTGCAGCAGAGAGAGGTGGAGCTGAGCCAGAGGTTTTATGCACAGCTGTCTCTTTAACACGGGCTGGTCCTGGCCACTGGTCCTGGAGAGAGAATGAGGATTAAGAGGAGAGGGAATGGTGGATGGTGAGAGATGAAGGGGCGAGGAGAGCAGGAAGAAGAGGGCATGCGTGCAGGAGCAGAGGCAGAGGAGAGGAGATGGGAGAAGAGGCCATTAGAGGCAGAGACACCTGTGGGGACAGGGGACAGGAGAGTGGAAGAGAAGGAAAGACAGGGTAGGAAGTGAGAGCAACAGGCATAAAAAGGTGCCTGGGGAGAGAGACACGCGGAAGTGGGAAGGGGCGTGTCGCTGAAGGGAGGCGGGAGAGAAGGAGGGGGGGTGGAAGGTAGGAACTGGGGTGGGTAGGGTTTGTGACTAAGGATAGGTGAGTGGAAAGACAGTTGAGGGAGAAAGTAAAGTCACGGGAAAAACAATCCGGTGGCATCGTGTGAATCCAGGAAGAAATGGTGACGGAGGAGGAAAAGGCAACTTGGAGAGGTAAGAGTCGAGGAGAGGAGAGGGGAGGAGAGGCGAGGCGAGGGAGGGGCAGGAAGTGTGCCTCTGACTTGCCTGTGTGGTGGAACTGTTGTACGGCATAGTCTTTTTCCAGCAAAATACAGGAGGGCCTTTGAGATGTCGCCTTGGACCCCAAGCACAACCCTGGAAGTTAGAACGATCGGCACAGGGTGGAAGGAGGTTTGGTGATTTCAGAAGCGGGAAAGAGAGAGGATGAGGGTAGCAGAAGACAGTGTCAGAAGGCCTGGTGCATGGACCACCCTGGGTTTACGTTTGGGTGTGGGCTTCACGGGTCCCCAGAGCTGCCTTGGTCTTACAAGCCTAACGCAACCCCCCCCCCACCTGCCAGGTGGCAACACTCACTGTGTAAGATATTTGGGGGTGAAGGACTGAATGACAGATGGTGAAGAGTTGGAGTTAGGGTTGGAATTAGAGGGTTAGGCTCAGAGCTGGGGGCCCCAGGCTCTTATGAGGACTTAGACAAAAGCAGCCTGAAGGAACTTGGATGCGAGTTACTGAGTCAGATGATGACGAAGAAGTATGGAGACCAGGAGAGATAATGGAAGGGGAAGGGTGGGGATGGAGAAGTGGGAAGAAATAAGGGAGGAAGAGGAGAGGGAGGAGAGAAGGGGCAGAGACGGATAATCTTTTACAAAATGATCTAGAACATATATGTTTTAATTAATTCATCACCATGATCTTTTGTGTGTGTGTGTGTGTGTGTGTGTGTGTGTGTGTGTGTGTGTGTGTGTGTGTGCTTAAACTCAGGTGGTTAGGCTTTTGTCAAAACCTTTAAGAGGGAAACTTCAGATTCAGAAACTTCCTTCAATATAACTTCAGTCTGGAAGTGGCGGAGATAGAACCAGTAACCAAGTTATTGAAAAAAGAAGGAGAAGAAGAAGCAAGCAAAACCTAACTTAGAGTTAGGGAAAACGAAGGAGGGGTGAGGAAGGAGAGGGAGGAGCTGGATAGCCCCCTATCCCTTACCCTCCTAGCCCAGAGGGGCTGTAGTGACCCTGCCATTGCCTCTGTCTCCAGGATGGGCCCAGGAACCCTCAATGACTCAGGAACGCCGGAGTTCCTGCTGCTGGGACTGTGGGCCCCACCTTCCCTGCGTCCCTTGCTCTGGGCCTCACTTCTCCTGGCCTACCTCGCCACGGTGTTGGGTAATGGTGCCCTGGTGGGACTGATAGCTCTGGACAGACGACTACACCGGCCCATGTACCGCCTGCTGACCCACCTGGCCCTGCTGGACACGGCCTATGTGAGCACCACGCTGCCGCAGGCACTGGCACACATGGCCATGCACCATGCCCGCCTCTCCCTGGCACGCTGTGGGGCACAGCTGTATGTGGGCATCTCCCTGGGCAGCTGCGAGGCCATCCTCTTGGCTGCCATGGCCCTGGACCGGTGTCTGGCCGTGTGCAGACCCCTGCATTACGCGACCCTGGTGACCACGCCCCGCTGCGCAGCGCTGGCTGGAGCATCCTGGACGCTGGGCTTCGTCCTGTCTGTGCCCAATGCGGTGGCGGCGCTGCGCCTGCCCTTCTGTCCCGGGAGGCCTGCCGTGGACCACTTCTTCTGTGAGCTGCCTGCGGTGCTGAGGACAGCGTGTGCAGACACCACAGCCAACTACAGGCTGGTCTATGGCCTGGGCGTGCCCATTCTCCTGGTACCCTTGGCCTTCATCCTGGCCTCCTACGCCTTGATTCTGGCTGCAGTGCGCAAGTTGCCTTCTGCTGGGAGTCGCCGAAAGGCCCTGTCTACCTGTAGCTCACACCTGGCGGTGGTAGGACTGTTCTATGGCACGGTGAGCGCCATGTACCTGCGGCCCCGAGCCTCTAGTTCTCTCCCCTCCAGACATCATAAGCTGGTGGCGGTTTTCTACCTTGTGGTCACACCTGTTCTCAATCCACTCATCTACAGCCTTCGAAATCGTGAGGTTCACATGGCAGCCCAGTATGCCCTGGCCCGGCTCCGGGGGATGAGCACTGCGCTGCGCTGAGCCACTTGTGCGGGGCACAGAAAACTTTCTCAGTGCTGGGCCCTTCAAATTCTGTGGAGACATCGTTTATTTATTTGTTTATTTATTTATTTATTATTTATTTAGAGAGAGAGAGAGAGAGACAGAGACAGAGAGAAGCTATCAGTAGGTAGCCTTACCTAGCTTGGAACTCATTAGGTAGACCAGACTGGCCTCAAACTCACAGAGATCCGCTTGCCTTTGCCTCTTGAGCGCTGGGATTAAATGGGTATGCCACCATACAGGGATTCAAAGAATTAGTATATTTTCACTGACGTTTTGATAATTTCTTGGGAGTATATTTTGATCACACCCATCTCCCGCTCCTCCCGCAACCCCTTCAGATGCATCCCCACTTCTAACCGAAAAATAAAAAAAAATAAAAAACACCCCCCAGTTCAGTTTGTGTTCCCCATATACTCAAGGGTGTGGGTCCATTTAATGGAGCATGGTCGACCTACAGGGCTTTGTGCACGCTGGGCAAGCACTCTACCCCATCCCCAGCCCTGCGGATACGTTAAATAAAGAAGTGGATGATAAATATTTTCAGAGTTGCTGTGGCCTCTTCATTTCTGTTATCATGAAGAGGGAGAAACTGCAGACAAAGTCTGAAAGGAACTTGGCACTGCATCCAGGAAAGCATTACTGGACATTGTTGTCTGGATAGCCCATAATATCTGTGTACCCCAAAGTCTGGAAGGAGGGTACTGGGGGAGGAAAGGGAATGGGAAAACATTGTTATCTCATTTTAGGTAAAAAAAAAAATGCATAATAATTGAAAAGTTAAATAAAGTGTTTATTTTATACATACATGTGTGCCTGAGTGTGTATGTAATCTTAATATTTGAGTCATCCCACCAGCCCCGATTCTTTTGATTGTTTGTTTCTCTGTGTAGCCCTGGCTGTCCAGGGCTTGTATCATAAAGGAATGTTGATTTTAAATTTTTTTCCTTTTTAGTTATGTACATATGCGTGTCTGTATGTGGGTATGTGCCAAGAGTGTGGTGTTTGCAGAATACAGAGGAGGCCATATGTCCTGGAACTGGAGTTGTAGGCTGTCGTGAGCTGCCAGACATGGATGCTGAGAACTGAACTCGGGTCCTCTTCAAGAGCAGTCCATGGTCTTCACAACTGAGCCGTCTCTCCAGACACCATTTTGATGTTTGTAGAAAAACTAAATATACTTCTTCAGCCTGTCACGGCCTTAGGTTTTGACCTTGAGGTTTAATTTCTCCAGATCTAAACTCCACGTCACTATTGTGTAGATAATCATGGGGTAAGCCAGCAGAAACGGATCATAATTCAAAGGTGTCAAAAACACTTGGGCATGTCCTCTCTGTGTTTGTTGACTTTCCACCCTGTAACAAACGCCCAAGGTTATAATGAGAGAGGGTTATCGTGTTTCAGCAGCCATCACTTTGGGTGAGGAAAAGCACAGCACAGCAGGAATGTGTTCGCTCTATCATTCTACCGGGTACCCTGGGAGTGCTCCCAAAATAACCTATGGGTTCTGAGACTAGGCTCCTTAAACAAAAAGTAACAGGGCACATTTTTTGATGATATATGGAGAACAAGGGATATGATAGTCACTTATCAGCATGGCATATTTTATCACCAGCCACAGGGAAAAGACGGTGGAAATATTTTCATGTTATGTTTAGAGAAGAAAAACACTATGTTGGGTAGTTCAGAGGGTTTTGTTTTTACTTATTTATTTAAAGATTTATTTATTTAGTATGTGTACAGTGTTCTGCCTACATATATGGCTGTGCTCCAAAAGAGGGCACCAGATCTCACTGTAGATGGTTGTGAGCCACCATGTGGTACCTGGAATTGAACTCAGGACCTCTGGAAGAGCAGCCGGTGCTCTTAACTGCTGAGCCATCTCTCCAGTCTCTTTTTTTTATTTTTTAATTATGTGTATGTTGAGTATGTAAGTGCACGCACATGTGTCAATGGGGAGCCATGGAGGCTGGAAGAGGGCATCGGATCTCCTGGAGCTTGAGCTACAGGCATCTGTGGGATATCGGATGTAGGTGTTGGGAACTGAACTTAGGTCTTCTGCAAGAATAGTACTCTCTTCACTCCTGAGCCATTTCTCCAAACCACTTATTCTCTTAAAAGTTTTTTTAATTGCATATTTATTTATAACTAACTAATTAATTTGTGTGTGTGTGTGTGTGGAGTTCAGAAGACCATCCCAGTCCTGAAGACCATACTGTGTCATCAGGATTTGCTGTTGATGCCTTTACACACAGAGCCACATCACTGGTCTCTTATAGCCTTAATAAAAACAGAAATCTGTGGATGTTTAAAATGAACTTTATTTTAGAATTTAATTTGAGTGCTATATCCCAAAACCATAAGGTCAGAGGTTGTGATTTTGAAGTTCTTTCACCAAAAAGATGAAAGCTTGGGAGTGTTTCTGTCATTAATTGAGTCTTCTATTCTCAGGGTAGACCACCAAAAACTATAGGGATATGCTCTGTTAGTATTGTGTGAAAAGTGAACAAATACATAATAAGTTTGATAATTCTATGGCTTCTTAGAATGTCAAGCACAGAGGTATCCTATAATACAGTTCCCACCCTTGGTAGACACCCAAGTCAGAGGAAAACATAAATCTACACAAAAACCTGTGTACAATATTTACATCAGTGTTACAATAGCCCCAATCATGTAGAAACAACTCAGAAGTCTATCAACTGGAGCTATGGCCATAACTCATTGGGTAGGTGCCAGTCTAGAATACACCAGGGAAAGGGATGAGGGGTGTGGCTCAAATGGCACAACCCTTCCTCATTTATCTTCATTCAGCACAGTAAAACCGTGAACCATCAGCTTCTCATACTAATGCTTTAATCCCTTCTCAGTTTCCCTGGCATAGCTAGGAGCCATTGGGATACAGAGGGGTGTGGCATGACATGGTAAGACATGAAGATGGAAGGGTGGACATGAGAAATCTTTAGGGACATTACAAGGCATCCAAGGGAGTGTGGATTTTCTTGTCTGTAGAGAGAAGCAAACACAATCCACTAGGTCTGAGGGGAAAACCAGGAGGAGGGAAGTATGGCAAGGACCACAGTCTCAGGGGAAAGCAGGGGCTTCAGACTCTCTGCCTCCCTCTGTCTTCACCGGGGACACAGAGACACATAATGAACACAACCCTCCAAGGGGAGAGAGAGTCTTCAGGGCTCTCATTTTCTGTCCAGGACCAAAGACTGAAAGCTTTGGTTTCTGGAATCCCAGTCAGCCCCAGGAGCTGCTGGATCAAGAGAGTAGCTCTGTCACCATAATTAATGCCAGACAGACAGAGAAGCAGAAGAGGTGAGCTGGTTCTCCATGAAGGGCAAGGGTTCATGTTGCAGGAAAGAATGAACATGGGCTCTGTTTGACTGACAGATGCTGTAATGATCACTGGGAGAAGAACATCATCTATTTTTTTCATTCTTTGATGGTGATGCTGATGGATGCATTAATCATAATGATGAAGATTAAGATTATATAGTTCTGTGATGGTGATGATGGTGATGTGTGAGAAGATAAAGATCATAGTAGCATGGTGATGAGGTGATTAAGATTATAAGGATACAGTCACGACATGATGATGACTAAGATTATAATGATACGGTGATGAGATGGTGATGGTGGTAATGAATAATGATGATAATGATGTGGTATTAATGGCGGTAGTGGTGGTGATGAAAGTGTGATGGTGGTGGGGATAAAATGGTGCAGACGGCCCCGTTGGTGATGACAGTGGTCATGGTGGTGACCCTGAAGTCTCACTGATGGTGACAAAGGTAACAGTGATGATGGGGTGATATTGATTGTGGTGAAGGAGAATGCTGACGGGGACATGCAATCCCAGACCTTGACAGCCTCAGTCAGGGGGATCTCCATTAGCTGGAGGCCAGTCTGAGCTACGTTGTGACTTCCAGACCAGCCTCGGCTACATCAAGAGAACCCGTCTTAAGAAAAAAAAATAAAAAGAGGAGGTGTGGTCTTTGTTTGCACGTTGTTGGGGTCAGAGGGATGTTAGAAACAGTTCTAACCCTTGGTCATATATTAAAATGCTCTAATTCACTAAAAGAATGCTACTTAGGTCCTGCTAAATGAACTTCTTGGCTCAGGAGTGGACCAGAATCTTAATCCCAGAATATACTGCTTTGAGATACAGGAAGGATCTGACTTTCTTTTTTGGGTGATGGAGAATTAAAGGAATGAGAGATTACAGCCCTGATTCTAGTTGTATGATTCCAGTTGACAAGAAAACAACACAGCAAATACAATGTCTCACATAGATTAAAATCCATTCCATACTTATATCCACAGCCTGGAATGGTCCAGGATTTAAGTTCTCCAGGACCCAGTGCCCAGGCCATGAAGGGTGTGGCTCGAATGAAGTTTGGTACTTTTTGTCCTTACAGTAATTCTACTTTTCTCTTTTATTGAAAATAGATATTTTTACATATAGTTCCCTCTCCCCAATTTCTTACAGGTCCTAATCCACAACTTTTCTCCTTAGAAAACAAAATCCACACTATTTCTCCTTAGAATAATCATAAAATAAAATAAGATAAAGCAAACACAAACAACCTGGAATAGGATAAAACATGCAGATGAAAAGGCAGAGAAAAAGCACAAGAAACATGTGTAGACACAGAGACACACATGTTTGCACACACAGGAATCCCATAAAAACACAGACCTGGAGTGTAATATACACACAAAAGGCGTGTGAGTTAAAAATAAATGAGTAAGCCTGGCATGCCTTTAGTCCCAGCACTTAGGAGGCAGAGGCAGGCAGATTTCCACGAGTTCAAGGCCAGCTTGGTCTACAAAGCAAGTTCCAGGATAGTCAGAGATACACATACAAACCCTATCTCAACCCCTTCAAAAAGGATAAAGAAATGAAGATTAAGAGATAATGAGTGCCCAAAGATGCCATTGAATTCAGTTTTTGGTAGCCATCTTCTGTA